CAGGAGCTGGGGGGTGCTGGTTGTGGTGGGGGGCACCCAATTTTAGTGGTGGCAGCTGGGGCTAGGGGGGTTGGATGGTGCTGATGGTGGTGAGGGGGTGCCCAATTTTAGCGGTGTTTGAGGCAGGTGCTGGGGTTGGGAGGGTGCTGATGGTGGTGGGGGTGCCCAATTTTAGTGGTGGCAGCTGGGGCTGGGGGAGTTGGGTGGTGCTGATGGTGGGGGGGGGTGCCCAATTTTAGTGGTGTTGGTGGTGGGGGCTGGGGGGGTGCTGATGGTGGTGGGGGCGCCCAACTTTAGTGTTGCCTAGGGAAGCACAAAAATTAAATACACCACTGTGTACACATAGGCATGAAAAACAAAAACTTCACTGATACCGCACATCCCACAAAGCCCAACAATGGAGGAGCTCCTCCATGACTGAGCATCATGAGCTGGGTGAAATGTGCTTGAGACATTGTCTGGATGATGCCCAAACTGAGGCTGCTCCCATAGACTGCTGTAGACATCATTGGGCTTTGTGGGATGTGGAGCATCTAAGAAGTTTTTGTTTTTCATGCCTGTGTTTACTAAGCCAAGGTATACGGGAGCCTGGAGTGGCATCCCCATTATCTGGTGTTTGTTGGCAGGGGTGTACACATGCTACAGTTGCAATGCTTTGCATCATAATGTGGCAAAAACCATCCGGCCTGTTGTGCCAAATGCAACCCCTGCAAGTGAATGGGGCCATGCTGCAACCACCCCGCAACCACGTGTAACACACACAATTACAGTGTGGTGGTGCGGGATTTTAGGAGTTAAAACAGGTGACGAGGAGGTGAAACCAAGCTCTCATAGTGCCTAGACTTCTATTTCACCTCTCAAACCCATATCCCATAACCGAAATCTGATTCTAACCGTCATCACTTGTAGTATCATACTTGTACCATAGCTTTTGGCATAATAGCTTCTGCTACAAAATGGCCGATTTTGAATAAATTATCCTCAAATTTCTCCTTTTTTTTTTTTTCCTAAGTTAATATTGAATTAAAAAAATACACCCAAAGTTATATTGCAAAGAATTTTTTCCCCAATTTTCCAAAATTTTTGTTGTTGTTGTTTTGCTTTTAGTTTTTTTTTTTTTTTTTTTCCACAAGAAAGCTAAAAACAGTGAAAAAAAAGTAAATAAAAAAAAAAGCAACTAGACAAAAATATATTTGTGTTTTTCCCCTGTTTTTTCATAATATATTTCCCTGTCAAAAAGGAGCACCAAATCAAACATTTTGTGTACCAAATCCAACTGCTCTCATTTTTTTTTCTTTTGAGTTTTTATTTTCTTTTTTCTCTTTTTATTTCCATTATTACAATGTAACTAATGCAGAAGCCAAATAGAATTTCTAATAATTTAAACATTACTAAAACCTCCAATAGTTTATTAATCCAGCAGATCCAAGTCTTCTATTTAAAACTCAGGCATCTGTCGGATCGTACAGGCTGTGGTGTAAAAAAAAAAAAAACAAAACACGCACGGTGGTGGCTAATAGCGGTGGAGCCGGCTTGGTGCCAGGAAGCAGAATAAAAATAGTATTCCATAACTTTTATTCTGAGTTAATGACATTACAGCTGAGTTCTTTACTGTCAGAAAATGAAATGAAATTCAACCTGCTGACTCTGACTTGCTTTTACTTAAAGGTTAAAAAAATTCACCGTAGGTAGTGTGAGAGTTGAAGGTCACTGCTGAGTTTTGATGTTTTTTTTTACAAGTTTTGTCTTTTAAAAAAAAGTCCCATTCCTTAGAAAACTAAAATACGATACTAGACAGAGGTGTGTGGAGCAAAATGTAAAGCTGAATTTTAGGGTTCACCCAACACATCACAGAGGACAAGGGGGCACACTTTAAGTCTGGAGGAAAAGAAAATTTAACCTCCAAACCTCCAAAGGTTTCTTCACAGTGAGAGCTGTGAAAATGTGGAATAGACTCCCTCAAGAGTTGGTTGTGGCCAGCTCAGTGGATTGCTTTAAAAAAGTCCTGGATTCTTTTTTGGATACACAGAATATAACTGGATATAACATTTATAGGTAAAGTTGATCCAGGGAATATCTGATTGCCTCTCAGGGGATCAGGAAAGGAATTATTTCCCCTGCAGGAGCAAATTGGATCTTTGTGGGATTTTTTGCCTTCCTCTGGTCAACTGTGGGTGTAGGATTATAACTTTTTTTTTTAAATGGTTGAACTGCATGGACTTTTGTCTTTTTTCAGCCAGACTAACTATGTAACCACCACTAAATACTCCCCAAATCACCCCCTATCTTTTTTTTAGCATTTTTCCTGCAGTCTTCTAGCCAGTTTGGCAATGTCGTGGCAGCTTCCTCTTCTTCCTCTGGTGGAGGGGTGGACATTAGTCCATGATGATGTGTGAACGTTGCTTGTCCTGAAGTACTGGGTGCCCAGCCTGTATGATAACAGTTCAGTAAGTAGCTTAATTTAATGCATTCTCTGCATTAACCGCTTCCCCGCCACCCTATAGCACAAATACTGCTACAGGGCGGCAGTACTGTGCAAAATCAGGAATACATACGTGATTTCGCATTTTCAGGTAGGCAGCTAAGGCTGTCTATCGCTGGGTCCTGGCCGGAAATTCCCCGCCGGCACCCGGCAATCGCCGAAGAACACTGAGAGAGGAGAAGCCTGTATGTAAACAATACAGATCTTTACCCTGTCAGCTCCAGCATGCTGCTTTGTTTTGCCCAGCATAGCAGAGCAATACAAAGCAGCATGCTTACACAGTAAATAGCACACATTGTAAAACAGCACACAGTTAACCCTTTGATCGCCCCAGATGTTAACGCCGTCCTGCCCAGTGTCATTAGTACAGTGTCAGTGCTTTTTTTTTTTTTTTAGCACTGTTCACTGTATTGGTGTCACTGGGGATGTCAGTGACAGTTAGTGTCAGAATGCCCGCCATAGTCCCGCAGTACTGCTATAAGTCACTGATTACTAGTTACATTAAAAAAAAAAAATAATAATAATAATAATAATAAAAATCCCAGTATATATACAGCCACTTGTAGATGCTATAACTTTCATGTAAACCAATTAATTTACTTTTTTTTTTCTAGCAAAGACATGCAGCTGAATACATTTTGGCCTAAATTTATGAAGAAATTAGATTTTTTAAAAAATTTTACTGGATATGTTTTATAGCAAAAAGTAAAAATATATTTTTTTTTTTTTTCAAAATTGTTGGGTTTTTTAGTTTATAACACAAAAAATAAAAAATGCAGAGGCGATCAAATACCACAGAAAGAAAGCTGTTTTTGTGGGGAAAAAAAGACATAAATTTAATTTGGGTGTAGCGTTGCATGACCGTGCAATTGTCAGTTAAAGTAATGTGGCGCTGTAACGCAAAAAAATGACCTGGTCAGGAAGGGGGGGTAAATCCTCTAGAGGGCAAGTGGTTAAGGTAAAAAAAAAAAACCTTCTGCAAGCAGTTCTGCACCCAGGGGCGGACTGACCATTTGAAAACTCGGGCGCTGCCCGAGGGCCTGGGGTCAGTAGGGGGCCCCATGAGATGCTCCTGGTACCTTTTTCATAGGCTTTTTTGAGTTTTAGTTAAGGACACAGGGGCCTCATGATCCCGTATTGCCTGGGGGCCCCATGAGTTGTCAGTCCGCCCCTGTCCACACCCCCCCCCCCTCCCCTATTGAGTCCAATCTCGATCCAGCTCTCTGCCTGAGAGCATCAGCTGTCTTCGCTCTCTCTCTACTCATTTTACAGAGAAGAAGTACCAGGAGCCATTGGCTTCTTCTGCTGTCAATCACATCCTGTGACCAGACGGCGTGTCAAGCTGCATTGCGTGTGTCTAAGGACAAACAGAGCATGGCTCAGGACCAAGCCCACATAAGTGCCCCCATAGCAAGTGGCTTGCTAAGGGGGCACTCAGAGAGGGGAGCCAGGAGCACAGGTCCTCCGAAGAGGAGGATCAGAGCTGTTCTGTGAAAAACTATTGCACAGAGCAAGTAAATATGACATGTTTGTTATTTTAGCATAATATACAGGTGAAACTCCAAAAATTGTAATATTGTGCAGAAATTCATTTATTTCAGTAATACAACTTAAAAGGTGAAACTAATATATGAGATAGACTCATTACATGCAAAGCAAGATAGTTTCAAGCCGTGATTTGTCATCATTGTGATGATTATGGCTTACAGCTCATGAAAACCCCAAATCCACAATCTCAGAAAATGAGAATATTGTGAAAAGGTGCAATATTCTGGGCTCAAAGTGTCCCACTCTAATCTAAATAAATGAACTTTTGCACGATATTCTAATTTTTCGAGTTTCACCTGTAGGTTTACTATTGCTTTTAACCCCTAACCAGCTCAATACTGGGCACTTTCACCCCCTTCCTGAATCGGCCAATTTTCAGCTTTTAGCACTGTTGCACTTTGAATGACAATTCCGTAGTCATACAACACTGTACCCGAATGAAATTTTAATATTTTTTTTAGACAGATAGATTTTTGTTTTTGTTGGTATTTGATCACCACTGGGTTTTTTCATTTTTGCTAAATAAAATTTTGAAAAAGAAGTGTTTTTCTTAGTTGCTGTTATAAAATTTTGCTACCAAGTAATTTTTATTCTTCACTGATGATGCTGCACTGATGTACACTGATGTGGCTGTATTGATAAGCAGCATTGATGGGCACTGATAAGTGACACTGATGGGCACTGATATGCTGCACTGATTGGCACTGATGGGGCTGCACTGATTATCAGGACACTGATGATCAGTGCCCTGAATATCAGTCAAAATGTGTACTGAGAGGATTGATGGTTATCCGCTTTCCTTTTCTCACATAGTGACAGCGCTGAGGAAAGAAAATGCCGTTAACTGAGAAGTCTGTTTTTGTGCAACTGGACAGGGATGATCACATAGTAAAGGGTCGTTGTGATTGGCCTTTGCATCGATCTGTGATCAGCTGTGCCCCAAGCAGGGGCGGACTGACAACTCATGGGGCCCCGGGCAATAGGGGATCATGGGGCCCCTGTGTCCTTGCCCAAACTCAAAAAAGCCTATGAAAAAGGTACCAGGGGCATCTCATGGGGGCCCTACTGACCCTGGGCCCTCGGGCAGTGCCCGAGTTTCCAAATGGTCAGTCCGCCCCTGGCCCCAAGGATATATAGCATAGAGCACCCCTAATGCATGCACCAGGGGTGTGCAGAAAGGTTTTGGGAAGATGTCTATAGAAACCCTCCCAGAACTGGACGACCACACTGTAGCCGTTTTTTGACTATGGCAAGGTCCGGGGATGATTAATTTAAGGTTCCCCCTGCGCTGCTATGAAACCCACCTAGTTAATAGCTGCTCACACCTAATCCTCTACCTATGTGCAGACAAATGAATAATAATAATAGTGGTGAAGCGCTAAATAAACATAATATATATAGAAATAACCATATCACATAATAGTGTTATTACTGTGTAAGATCTACCAGGATCTTATAAAGGTGTCTGAAAATGTGATAATATTATATACTAAAGTGCAAATAATAAATGGGTCTTATCCAGTGGTGTATTTCGGTTTTGTGCTGCCCTAGGCAACACAAAAATCATCTGCCCCCACAGATACTGACCAATACCTCACCTTCCCCCTTCGCGCGGAGAGAGCTTGACATTGACCAACAACACCCCTGCCCCCCATCTGGGAGAGCCTTCCACTACCCCCCCTTCCCAGTGATAGGGAGAAAGACACCCATTTTCACAGCTCCGGACATCCCCGGGAACGAGAGTCAGGCTCTACATAGACCATCAAGCAGTCCGCAGCCTCTCTCGGATCCCACCTGGTCCCCATGGTGTGCGTGTCCCTTCTTCCATCTATTCTTCTTAGGAAAGAGGTGCTGCCCCCCTGAAACATGCCACCCTAGGCAAGTGCCTTGTGGTAAATACTCCCCTGGTCTTATCCAGAGACCTTATAAAGTGCTAACAACCAATCCCTGAAAGGGACCAACTTCCAAATGAGTGAATAATAATAGTGTATCCCTATTGGGTGTACTGTATGTAACTGGAGTAGCAAGATGGCGCTCTGCCAGAAGTGCGTCACCCCCCGCCGGATCTATGCGTTACGTCACGATGTGCAAACTTGGCAAAATTTTCAAATTTCAGTGTTTTGGTTTGATTACATTATTGAATTAAATTTATTATTATTATTAGAGATGAGCGAATCGAACATGACGAAGTGGAATTCGTTTCAAATATTAGGAAAAATTCGATTCGAATCGAATTTTCCCCGATCGGCCGATTTTCATCCCTTCTACAGCCGGCAAAAAGTGTCCCTGCAGAGAGCTCCGCTATTTCTGACAGTTCTCTGACAGTTCCTTCACATTTACAGCGGTTGAAACATTGTAGCTATTTGTTTCCATTTAGGATACAGATGTTTTTATTCGGAAACAAATAGATACAATGTTTCAACCGCTGTAAATGTGAAGGAACTGTCAGAGAACTGTCAGAATAGCGGAGCTCTCTGCAGAGACACTTTTTGCTGGACTGGAATTCTTATTATTTTCATCCTACTTCTTCTTCTTCTTCTTCTTCTTCTTCTTCATCCTCATCCTCATCCTCTTCTTCTTCTTCTTCTTCTTCTTCTTCATCCTCATCTTCTTCTTCTTCTTCTTCTTTTCTTCTTCTTCTTCTTCCTCATCCTCATCCTCCTCCTCTTCTTCTTCTTCATCCTCATCTTCTTTCTTCTTCTTCATTCTTCATCCTCATCCTCTTCTTCTTCTTCTTCTTCATCCTCATCCTCCTTCTTCTTCTTCTTTCTTCTTCTTTCCTCATCCTCTTCCTCTTCTTCTTCTTCTTCTTCATCCTCATCCTTCTTCTTCTTCTTCTTCATCCTCATCCTCTTCTTCTTCTTCTTCTTCTTCTTCTTCTTCTTCTCATTCATCCTCATTCTTCTTCTTCTTCTTCTTCATCCTCATCCTCTTCTTCTTCTCTTTCATCCTCATCCTCTTCTTCTTCTTCTTCTTCTTCTTCTTCTTCTTCTTCATCCTCTCCTCTTCTTCTTCTTCTTCTTCATCCTCATCCTCCTCTCTTCTTCTTATTATTCTTCTTCTTCTTCTTCATCCTCATCCTCTTCTTCTTATTATTCTTCTTCATCCTCATCCTCTTCTTCTTCTTCTCTTCTTCATCCTCATCCTCACCATCATCCTCTTCTTCTTCTTCATCCTCATCCTCTTCTTCTTCATCCTCATCCTCTTCTTCTTCTTCATCCTCTTCTTTTTCTCATCATCATCCTCATCCTCTTCTTCTTCTTCCTCATCCTCTTCTTCTTCTTTTTCATCCTCATCCTCTTCTTCTTCATCCTCATCCTCTTCTTCTTCTTCATCCTCATCCTCTTCTTCTTCTTCTTCATCCTCATCTTCTTCTTCATCTTCATCCTCATCCTCATCCTCTTCTTCTTCTTCATCCTCATCCTCTTCTTCTTCTTCTTCATCCTCATCCCTCTTCTTCTTCATCCTCATCCTCATCCTCTTCTTCATCCTCATCCTCTTCTTCTTCTTCATCCTCATCCTCTTCTTCTTCATCCTCATCTTCTTCTTCTTCATCCTCATCCTCTTCTTCTTCTTCTTCTTCTTCCTCATCCTCTTCTTCTTCTTCTCTTCTTCATCCTCATCCTCACCATCATCCTCTTCTTCTTCATCATCCTCATCCTCTTCTTCATCCTCATCCTCTTCTTCTTCTTCATCCTCTTCTTTTTCTTCATCATCCTCATCCTCTTCTTCTTCTTCCTCATCCTCTTCTTCTTCTTTTTCATCCTCATCCTCTTCTTCTTCATCCTCATCCTCTTCTTCTTCTTCATCCTCATCCTCTTCTTCTTCTTCTTCATCCTCATCTTCTTCTTCATCTTCATCCTCATCCTCATCCTCTTCTTCTTCTTCATCCTCATCCTCTTCTTCTTCTTCTTCATCCTCATCCTCTTCTTCTTCATCCTCATCCTCATCCTCTTCTTCATCCTCATCCTCTTCTTCTTCTTCATCCTCATCCTCTTCTTCTTCATCCTCATCTTCTTCTTCTTCATCCTCATCCTCTTCTTCTTCTTCTTCTTCTTCTTCCTCATCCTCTTCTTCTTCTTCTTCTTCCTCATCCTCATCCTCTTCTTCTTCTTCATCCTCATCCTCCTCCTCTTCTTCTTCTTCTTCATCCTCATCCTCATCCTCTTCTTCTTCCTCATCCTCCTCCTCTTCTTCTTCTTCTTCTTCTTCTTCATCCTCATCCTCTTCTTCTTCTTCCTCATCCTCTTCTTCTTCTTCCTCTTCCTCATCCTCTCATCCTCTTCCTCATCCTCCTCTTCTTTTTCATCCTCTTCTTCCTCTTCTTCTTCTTCATCCTCTTCTTCATCCTCTTCCTCTTCTTCTTTTTCTTCTTTTTTTCGAGAATCGTTACTCAGGGACACAGAATCGTTACTCAGGGACACAGAATCGTTACTTAGGGCCACAGCTATCAAAGAATCGAAAATTTAAAGTGACATACACCCTTTTTTTTTGTTGGTGGCTGTCGTGCACAGTTGGTGCTGCAGTTTGCCGATTGTGCAAAATAAACTGACTTTCTGATTCACAACCACTATTGTACGTTCAAAGAGTTAAATCCATTTACACGCCGGGTGGCGGTAATATTTTTTGGGTGATTAGTGCATTCCAGTGACACAAACGTACAGTTTCCAGCCAACGGCAAGCTGCAATTGACCGATTGTGTACAATAAACTGACTTTCTGCTTCACAACCACTATTGGCCTTCAATTGAAGCTGCTTCCGCTCCGCCACTCTGCCATTGGACTCTTGATAGTCGTCTCCCCACACTGCTGCTGGGGGGACTTTTTTAACATAGGCCTCTGTATGGCCTTCAATTTAAGCTGTTTACGCTTCGCCACTCTGCCATGGGCCCCTGTACCGCCTCCTCATGCTGCTGCCAGGCCCGTAATCTGTCATGGGCCCCTGTACCGCCTCCTCATGCTGCTGCCAGGTCCAGAGTGTGTCATGGGTCCCTGTACGGCCTCCCATTGCTGCTGTCTCCATCGCCACACTCTGCCATGTGCCACTTTCAGGTCTCTTCACACTGCTGGTGGGTTCCATTTTGTCATAGGGTGCTGTATGGCCTTCCATTGCTGCTGCCTCCACCGCCACACTGTGGCTCCACACTCTGGTTTTGGCCCCGTGACTGCCCAAATGAGTGAAGTGTGCGGTGATTCTAAGATCGACGGCACTCATCTGCATGTCATACTGACTGACAGTATTATTTCTCTTCCCCAGCAGACTCCAAGGGCATTTAAATTAAAGGTACAGTGTTCTGCACTAATATAAAGGCTCTCTGAAGCCTAGAAACCCTTTTAATAAGTTAAATTCGCAGCGAATAAATTCGCATCGAATCGAATTTATTCCGCAAATTCGGCGAATCTGCCGAATCGAATTTTTGAATAATTCGCTCATCTCTAATTATTATTTTTTTATGATTATTTATTAAATTATAATTTATGATTTAGTGTTTCAAATTTTAACATACCCGGGATGTTTACTAGATTCTTGTTCGGACAGATTTCAGTGAGTTATTCCTAAAAAATTACAGGCCTACAATAAAAAAATACATATTTCCATGCAAAAAAAATACCACTTTCAGCACAGAAATATGGACAGGGAGGTTAATGTACTAATTTCAGTAGGATTTTTAAAACTTGTAGTCTATTATTATAGGATGCAATATTTAATATTAAAAAGGCTTTGTTCTTCAGCAGACCCACTAGCCAGTCCCCCATCCCTTGTCTTTTGTTTCTGCAGGCATGTCCTTTCCAACGGCATCTGCCATAACTGGGACCATTTGCAGTTAAAACAAAAATGCTAAAACCATCCAGATAATTTGATGATATTTCTCCCTAATTTATTGGAAAGAAGCTCCCTAGCCACAGTAAAAACATGTTGATTTTGATTGTTCTACTGTGAAATCAATAGCTGGGCTTGTCAGATGGCGTTTTTATGACACAAAGCAGAAAAAAAAAGAATGTTTTTATTGCATTTTGTTCCATCTTCCAAATGGCATTTTCGGATAAAATGTT